TCGGGGACCCAGCTCTGGCTGCAACCTCACTGCAGATGCATGTGTGCGTTCCCTCCCCTCCCCATCCCAGGGAAGAATCCTGCTCTCTCTGCCTGAGTCCCACGCCCTGCAGCAGTGGCTCTGCCCCTCTTCCCAAGTGCTTATTTCGGAGTTGTCTCTAGTTAGCCTCCAGGTATTGTTACACACTGTTTTGTCAGTACCATGCAGATAAAATCATGGCTGCCAAGAGTTTTCACACATTTTCATATTGCACAGTGCCTGCCAGCACTAGGATCTCAGGGAGCTCAGCAGTGCTGCAGCTTGGGACCATGACCTTGAAATAGGCCTTCTTGGCGTTTAAGAAAGCAGCAGGAGCAAGAGCACTTCTTGCTCCTAGCAGGTGCTAAGGTTATTATTCTAGAGATGCACTCCCTACACTTAGAGGAAAAAAATCTCATCACTGTAGACTCAAGGACACATAGAGCAGCCAGAATGCAGAGCCCTGCTAAGCTTCTCTAGCTTATGATGACCAGGCCATACTCTTACATGCAATCATAGTTCTCCATGAACTACCGCTTCTTCATTAAACAGCATGAAAAATAGAAAAATATGGTCACCTGTAGCTTTCAGTCTTCATTTCTTTGCAAAGGCTGCCATGTCATGTGAAAATCAGTATTAAATCAGTCTGTATGTGTTTCTGTTAATCTGTCTTCTGTTATGGGAGACTCGACCATCAAACTAAGATGGGAAGGAAAGATATTCCTTCCTCTGTAGCAGGAGACTGCGATCAAAGGGCACAGGCGTCACCTTGGGCACTGTGTATTTCATCATCCTCAATGAACAAATGACCTTCTCAGAGTTCACACAAATTTAAAATATTTGTTCTAAAGTCCCAGTGGAGATTTGAATTTTATCCCTTGCCACCTCACGCTGTTCCTCACATACTGATGCGCCCCACTTGCTGAGCAGAGGCCAACCCACCCTGGGAGAAGCTACTGAAGGAGCTGCTCATCAATCTGGCCTTGACTGGGCCAACCCTAACCCTAGCCGTAGCCCCGCCCACTGACTGTGATTTCTGTCTTGTCAAAGAATCACCTCAGGGGATATCAAGTCAAAACATTTTATGATTTCTTTTCTTATTAACACTCAGTTGAAAAATACTGATAGATTTCCTAAGTGAAAGAAATAAATTCAGTAAGTCATTTTTAAATATTTTTATTTGCTTTTTTACTTTGTTTTGGGATTTTGATAAGTTTTACAAATGCTTGTTTTTTAATTGATGGCATTATTGCTAACAACTGTACCTTGGGGTTTTTGTTTTTGTTTTTTGTTTCTGTTTTGTTTTTGTCACACGGAAAATCGTACATTGTGAAGGGAGGAGGGGCAACACTCTGACCGCAGCTATCATTATTGCTGCTGTGAGCACGGTCTGTCCTGAATGAAGACAGTAAGTTCCCAGGGTGGGACAAGCTATGCAGATAGTGAGTATCTCAGTGCTTGCTTAGGTTAGGCAGGCAGGGATTGGGAGATGACAGCTAGAGGGAAAAAGTGTTTTGCTTCAGGGCGACAATGTGACTTGAATGAAGGACTTTCTCCTATTATTATAGCAGCGCAATTTGTAATAACCAGATCTTGGAAACAACTTAAGTGTCCATCTACTGCGGAATGGAAAAAAAGATGTGGTATTTTATACCATGGAGTACTACTCAGCTATAAAGAAGGATCACATTGAGATATTTATAAATAAATGGATGCAACTCAATACCATACTCATAAGTGAAATAAATCAAACCCACATGTGTAAATACCATATAGTCTCCCTAGTGTGAGAAATGGTAAGAGTATATAAAATACAAAAAGCTCAATAATTACAGTGAGAGGAAAAGAATCTGCTTAAAAGGGAAAAATAATATCTCAGGGAAAATGAGGAAAAAGAAAAAGAAAGGGTAAAGAAAAAATTCCTAAAATTATATAAACACACTCAGGATAGCTAAGATGATTGTGCTACAAATTCTGTAAGTTCTTGGAACAAAATAATTAACATTCATAGGATTGGAACAATTGTGCATATTATGATATGGTGATCTGAGGAACTCTTGAAGATCATTATGTAAAATAACAACCTTGGTTTAACTCATTCCATCCTGTTTTGAAGGCCTGTATTGTCAGGTTCTGGGCTCTGCTATTGTTTTTATGTCTTTTTCGTTTTGTGTTTTTCTAGGAATTTATTTTGTTTTGTCTAGGTTTGTTTTGTTTTTCCCTCTAATACAGAAAGGATAGGTATACATGTAGAGACTCATGCATGCATAGAACTTCTATAAAGTTTATGACAATCGATAATATAATACACAATGAAATGAACAGATACTTTGAAAAAAAAAAGACACTAAGATACCCAATGCTGATTCCGTAGCATCATGATGTGAAATCCAGCAATACTATTATTCTTTGTTCAGAGTGATTTTAATCCATTTTGTTTTGTTTAATTTCAACATGCATGAAGGTATGGACAGCTGTTTTGAAGAGAATGAGAGACATCATGACAGCCATTGTTGACTTCCGTATTGTCTGATCTTGAAGACCTAAAATGCCTTCATCATCCTGTTCTGATCAGTTCTATAATTTTTTGTTTTATATGAATTCATTGTATGTGAAGATATGGACAACTATTTGGAAGAAAACAAGAGACAATATGATAGACAGTGAAGATCTCCGGTTGTCTTGCTTTGAAATCTGTGTTTCTTACATTGTTATCATATGATCTGTTTTGTTCTGTTTTCTTATGCTTAGTTTTACCTTCTAAAAAAAATGATTTCAAAGTGAGCACGTAGCTCTCAGTGAGGTCCTGTCGTGAGGTCCTCCCCCACTCACCCACTCCTGGGCCCTGCTCATCACCTGGGGGCCGCTTCACAAGGGCCAGCTGGTCCTGCCTGTCCTCACAAGTAAAAGGTCAGCATCTCAGCAAAGATGCTTACCTAACACAAGAGCATCCCCCAACCCAAACAACGTAGGATAATACAACGGGTACAGTAGTTCATAGGAAGCATTGGGAGGTTTTACTAGTTTTGCTTTTTGTGTTTTTTTTTTTTTTTTAGTTTTTTTCTAGGTGATAGTTTAAAACATTGTGCACAAAATTTCAGATGCCAAATTGAGTGCACCTATGGGATGTCCAATTGGTCATGTCTCAGGCAGGCGGTGGCACATCTGGATTTCAGAAGAGCCACTGGACGAGTGGCTAACAGTGTACTCCAATCCTTGAGCCTGTTGAGAAAGCACAACGAAGACTGAAAAAAAAAAAAAAAAAAGAGGAGAAGGAAGAACTGCAGAAAATGCACTTCTTTTGGGAACTGACTGAGAAGACCCAACTTCGGGGTATGGAAAAGATCCAAGAGAGAGAAGTGAAAACTAAAGACACTGGAGAACAAAATGTGAGGAATAAAAATATGTCAAAAGGTGAAAGAAAGAAGATTCACACTTCAACACAGAATAAGCCACTGATGCCGATGATGACCAAGGAGGAGGTAGGGGACAGAGGACTAGGCGACTGATAGCGACCTTTGTGAAAGTACTTTGAGCAAGAGCAAAAGAATGAGCAAAGTAAACAAAAAAAGCTGCTTGATATCCTTGTATTCTCGGAACACTTTGTAGAGAAGGAAAAGTCAGGGCAGCACACTGATGACACAATAGTACTTTTTTCTCCATTTGCAATATGTGGTTAATTACAGCTCATCGTGAAAGACTTTTACAACACTTAAATATTTTACATGACACATACTGTAACATCTGGTAGGTAGCAAGTTACAGACTGTATTTGTTTCTGGATTTTAACTATTTACATTGTTATTAGTAGTAAAATGAAAAATGAAAAATATAATGCTGGATAAAAGGAAAACAACACATGACCAGAAAAAGTCTCTCCCTCCCGCCCTCTTCCTCTCCTGCATGCACACACGTGTGTGTGTGTGTGTTTGTGTGGTATGTGTTGACATCCTTTAGGGGCAAGGTAAAAAGACTTAGATAACAGAAAGTTGAAAAAGACTAGCAAAACTTGAAGGAACAAGCTACTGTAGAAAAGTCTTATTTTGAATGAAGAGTCTTACTTTTCCTGATAAACCATTTTCTTTTTAATTAAAAAAATTAAAAGAAAGAAGGAGATTAAGATAAAAGACATAACAACATAATAACACAGGTCAGAACAGAACAATTTAAGCATCATAATGTTTCACCACAAGATAACCCGACATAACAGTAACTACCACAGTGTCTCTTTCCTTGAAATATTTGAGTATAACTTTGTATATTAAAGCATCAAATGTAACATGACAGTGTAAAACAGTTCAAGAGAATGAAAGTATTACAGGTATTTAGAACCAACTAACAGAAAATGAACAATGGTTTCTATAGTCTCCTTGTCTATAAAAAATTTTGTTTGTACTATTACATGTAATAAAATCCAGTAAGATACAACATGATAAACCGATGGAGAAAAGAACAAAAGCTTCATGGGACTTCCAAATAAGATGATATTGTATCAGCACTAGCTATTATATTGTCTTGTTTTCTTCAAAATAACTGTTAATACTATCACAGACAATAAAATCAAACAACCCAGAATAGAACTATTCCAGTTAATGAAAACATTATCAGGCTTCAAAGCAAAATAATGGGGAATCATGTTTACCACATACTTTTATGTATCCTTACCCTTTCTTACATTCGGGAAACTATTCAGTATTTATACATGTGAGTTTGATTTATTTCGCTTATGAGTATGGTCTCAAGCTGCGCTCATTTATTTATAGATAAACCATTCTTGCAACCTGAGATTTTAGTTTTATTGCATTTGAGTCTTACAATTGTATAAATGTATGATGCCTAAAAATACTTCATAAAATAATCATTTACATATAGAAATGTACAGAAATTATTGTGAGAAGTGGTAAAATGCATCACTGCAGAAGCCTGACAGGCTCTGGTATCTTGCCTTAATTTCCTCCTGGAGACATTTCTGTGGTGTGCAGGTGAACCCTGGGATCCTGGTTCTGACCTGACTCCCGGCTGGTGCGTCTCACAGTTCCTGCACTGGCGGTGAGCAGCGCTTCTCCTTCCAGACCTGGTAGTGTGCAGCTTTCCCTGTTGGATGTGTGTGCACGCAGCATGGGTATTGGGTGTGGGTGAGGTGTGAATAAGCCTGTGGGTGGGTGTGCACATTTCTGTGCATGTTGCATATGGGTGTAAATATGTGTGAGATACACACCTGTGACATATGTGTACATGTGTAATAAAACACATGTTCCGTGTATATAAATGTGACATACATACCTGTGATAGATGTACATATGTTCATATGCAAGATACACATCTGTAATGTATATGCCCGTGTCAGTGTGCCAGCTACACACCTGTGATGCATGTGCCTATATACACATGAGAGATACACATCTGTGATGTGTGTACATGTGTATACATGTGAGACACACCTGTGATGCATGTGCATGTGTACTTGTGGGAGATACACACTTGTGATGTGTGTATGTGTGTACACATGGGAGATGTACACCTGTGATGCCTGTGTGTGCATGTTGCAAGAATACACAGGTGCTGTGTGCATGTGTGCACACATGTGAGGATATGCTGTGTGTGCATGTGCAGGTGTGCATGGGTACATACCTGTGATGTATGTGCATATGCACGTGTGCAAGGATACTCAGTACTAGGTGTGCACATGTGTGAGGATACACAACTATGCTTCATGTGCATGTGTGTGTGAAGGATGTACAAATGTGTTTGTGCATACAGGCGTACATGTGGTATAACAGCCAATACAGACAATTCTGGCGAAGGGGCCTTATCCAAACCCCAGGGGAGACTGGCACCATGTGACCTGGAGGAGTCACAAATGATTTCACCAGGGAGTTTTCTGAGCAGCTTCTCAGCACGGTATTCAGCCTTGCTTCTTGGCCAAGCAGAGCGGCAGCTGAACTTGGATTTCTTCTTAATCACATCTGAGATGGAGTGATTAAGTAGGACACAGACTGCGACCTGGGAGAGCACTGCCTTCCGCTCAGGGAAACAGCACGCAGTGTGACCCCACACTTTGTCACTCACTTTGGTGCCTTCCCATGAACACACAACTGAAGGACAGGGAAATCTTTCATCACACGCTGTTAAGGAAATGAGTATCTGCTGAGGTTATTTTTATCCGTGCCTCTGCTTCCTGGATGAATTAGGGCGGTCCCTAAAATAAGCCAGTGCCTGCCTGTGCTGCAGAATTTTCTGGCAACACAAATGTTAGTAGTTTATGCCAGATAATGTAATATTGCAAAATTTTGACATAAACTTTTTGTCATACAACTTAGTTAAAAAGGTACACATATGTGCATACCTGTGTATTAAGAATTCTTCCTCTTTCTAGCTTTATCACTAACATTTTTGGAGATTCTGAAAACACATTTCATTCTAGAAAGTAAATTTTCTTCCATACGGCAAATTATTTCTTCCTCTTAAGAGATTAATGAGAGAGGCATTTCAATTTGAGTACCACATTCTGAAGAGAAAGGAGAAAATATTCAACCCTTTGGAGGATACAGCCAGGATCTATAAAAGGGCAGGAGTGAGCATTTCCCACAGAATTTTCTAGTGTAGATGGGGGCAGGTTTTTGTTGTTGTTGTTTTGCTTTTTCCAAAACCCTGAGACTACATGCCCAGTCTCCTCACACCTCCTCCTCTTTCTCAGGATTGGTTCTCTAGGTTACTGTGTTACCCAGGCTGGACTCCAACTGGCCTCCACCTGCCTCAGTCTCCCTGAGTGCTCAGAACACAGGCATGCAGCACCACCACCAGCTAATAAATTGTACATAGTTCTAAAAGTTGTTCATATGATGCAAAATTAGTGTATGCCTGTGTGTGTAGTATGTGTATGTGCAACCTGCTCATGGTTCAGAAATGTAACAGTATGCTTTCTTAATATCGCTAAGCAACCAATTTCTGGGCTCTGTTTTTGTTTTTGTGGACAATTCTTTTGTTTATTTGCTTCCATTTTTCTAAATAAAATGTTTGTTTTTCTACTTTGTGATTTCTTTTGGACTTATAAAGAGCCTGTCCTATGAGGTAGCCACTCTGGAAACCTCTGTGGAGTACTCCCAGCCCTACCCGGGTCCACTGACGTAGCTTTCCACTTTCTCCCTAGGACAGACAGACAGTGCGGGTTATAACACAAGTCTTCATTCTGTTCTAACAGCTATAGAAACACAATAAATGCACAATGTAATTAGCGTAATGTGATTACTTTTCCTAACATCCTACTGCCCAGTCCTGAATCCTTATCTCCTTTTTTTGATTGACTATATAATTTTTATAAACAATCCTATTTCTCCCTTGACTCAGTACATATCCATACAACTTGTCATGCAAGCCCTGGGGAACAGCTCATAATCAGTCAGTTTTCTAATATATCAGAAATAAATGAACAGATAAATAGACAAAAAAAAAAAAAAACACTGGTTATTTTATCTTTGTTGGGACAAAATACCTGACACCCAAAATTAAGGAAAGAAAGGCTTATTTAGTTCACAGTTTGTGGAGGTTTCAGTCCATAATCAGCTGGCCCCGAGGCAGGGCCATATGGCACTCAGATAACACTTAAAGGCAGGAGTCAGCAAAAGCAAAAGGAGGGGAGAGCAAGCCTCTTTTTCTCCCTTATATTGCACATCCCCCCTCCCCCGGGCACACACAGATAGGCCCTCACAAAATCTCTGTACCTTCCTCTTGCATGCTTCTCTGCTTCTCTGTTCCTCCTTGAGGTCTTCCCAGATGAGCTTTCCGCAGGTGCTGGGGGGCTAGATCACTGGCAGAGACAGGCTTCCTTCACTTCACCGAGAAGCTCATGGCAAGGAGACAGCACATTCCTTTCTCACTGGCCGTATTGAAAACCCCAGGGCATCCGCCCTCCACTTTCGCAGACTGATATCACTTGCTTGTTGCTGAAGCAGCCTTGTGGACAGAAGAAACATGTAATTGATTGTCTTTAATCGTGCCTTCCTGTGCGACTAGGGTGGTGATGAGCGCTGACTTTCTCCAGAACCCCTGCACATATCAAAGGAGACCCTTCCCTAAGTGAAGGATGATATCAAGAGAACAACAGGAAAAAGAAATACTGAGAAGATACAAATAGCCAGCCTGGTTCTGTGACATCGGCTAATCATTAATTTCTCAGTACACAGGGTTGTTATGAAAATTGGATAAGTTATGCCAAGCCATCAACACATAGTAGATACTCAATAAGCAGCTATTATTGTTATATAAATGGTTTCCTAGGAATTTATAAACTGTGCTGGTATATGAACACAATTTCCCAGGAATTCTAATTTAATATCTTTAGAAGATGATATTCAGACCAAGATTATGCCTACCTTGCAGGCTAACTAGGTAAAATCCACAGATGAAATTGCATGAAATTTTTTCTTACCATAGACATATTTTAGCTTTTATAAAATCAAGCCCAGGAAAGACCCTGTGCGCTGACCTAGTCTCACCAGCCTCTTGCGAATGAGGGCACCTAACCAAGGGAGCGATGGACAGCAGTATTGTCTCTAAGACCTTGGAGTGGGTCAGGAGGATGGGGGCTAGTGCTGTAATTGTGGTTCACCACAAGCAGAACTGCTCTGTCCTGTCTGCTCCTAAGCCACTTGTCCAAGACAGGAAAGTGTACAGTCCACAGGGCGGCCACTTAAGTCATTTCACCAAAGCCACCTCACCCAGAATGCTGACCATGGTGAAATCAGCCCTTGAGAGAAGGCAGCAGCAGGATACAAGGGTCCAGCAGTTCCTGGGCTCAGCTCAGCCTTTGCCGCACTTCAGCAACACCGCATCTGCTGCACCCCTGGGTTGGGCTCCTTGTCACACCCGGCTCTGGGCTTGAAACTCTGCGGGTAAAGTGAGCAGTGCTGTGCCGTTAGCACCTTCATGTTGTCTGGTGATCTCTGCCCTGGAAGTCTCTTCATGCCCTTAGCTCTGCCTGCCAGCCTTCTGGCCTCCCTTGCCTGCATCTCTGTCTCTGTAAGATGTAGATGTGAGAGGGCTGGGGATTTAGCTCAGCGGCATAAGCGCCTGCCTTGCAAGCAGGCAGTCATGAGTTCGATCCCCAGTACCAATAAAAAAGAAAAAGACCAAAAAAAAAAAAAAAAAAAAAAAGATGTAGATGTGACAGTCTGCTTCCAGAGGTTTGAAGGAGCCAGAGAAAATAATTTGGAAAGAAAAAAATTATTTATCGAAGCACAGGCCTGGTGATGCAGCCTCCAGGAGCCAATATGGAAGACTGTGCGCCTAACAGCTAAAGGGCAGGGTTTTTATCCTGTGAAACCGCAAACAGCTGCTGGTCTCACAACGCAGGGCTGTGGGGTTTGCGGCGCACTACAGAACAGGAACGCGGCAGTTACATTTCTTGGGAAGAATAAGGTTCAGGTGGGCTAACAAGCAAGTTTAGATTAGACAAACATCCTCTGGGGAAGGCACATCCTGCAAACAAGCAAGTTACCCTGCAAACAAGCAAGTTTAGATTAGGAAGACATCCTGTTCTGCTCTTAGAGTACCTTTGATCTTTCTCTTGCCTCCGGGGAGACTTATGAGGGGTTTTTATATATGTTACAACAGTAGGGTCTTGCTGACTTCAGCACTATTTCCTGCACGGATGAACCTCACTCGTTTTTGTTTCTGCTAACCTCTCCCTTCCGTGATATGCATCTCTCATCTGAATTTCTTCTTGTCCAAGAGAAGAAAAAGAAACGCAATATCTGCAGCTACAGAACAGCAGATGACCCTGCAGACAACTCTGGTGTGCGTACAAGGAAACTGATGTGTGTTTTGAGTAGCTCCACAAATCTGTTACAGGCACACTACTCTCCAAAAATGTATTTGAACCTGCTATTGCTATTCGATTACTTCCAGTTTACTCTGAAGTTCATGGCAAGCATTGCTGCCTCTCTAGGACCAGTGGCCTCCCAAAAGCAAAATTTAACCTCCAACCCTCAGTGTGAATAGGTTCCCAAACCTATCCCAGAACCACAGGGAAGGGAGTGTTTTCCAGGTACTCCAGAGGTTCCAGCCCATGGCCTAGTTTTAGAGCTGCATGGCTACTCATCTCTTCATTGTTCAAAGACGATGATGAGTAAACTGCATACTACTGCATTCCCTTTTCTTATGTGTGTTCACTAGAAGACCTGATAAAAGACATTTCCTGGCCCCATTGCCCCAGCCCACGTATCTGACTCTATAGTCTGCACAGGGCCTAGAAATCTGCATAGCTAACAAATTCTTAGAAAACTCAGGATTGGTAGCTGGAACCACATTTTGGGGACCACAGCTCCAGCTGTAACCACCCCAGACAACCTCCCTGTATGGCCATACTACATGCTGAAGCAGTGGTGGGGAACCTGTGACAAGCACGTTATCATTTTTCTTTTAAGACAAAAGATGTTAACATATGAGTTGTTTTTTCTAAAGTAAAACTCAGCTCTCAGATTTAATTGCAGTGCTGCAGTTTGTGATGGACAAGCGGGATTGGGTTGCACTTTGGGCTCTCAGGTTTTAGCAGGTTTACAACCATTGTCCTAGAGGAAAGAGTCCCAGCAGAAAAACAAAGGAAGAAGTAAAGCAGACCTTCAATTTTTCTGTGAGTATCTGAGACATGTATTAGTAGATTGGTTTAAAAAGGTATACCTATGTGCTCCTAAAAGAAGAGTTTATTTGAAAGTAACATTTTTTGGTAATTTTTTTTCTTTGTAACCTGCTGTAGGATCTGAACTCAGATCTAGAGTTTGAATCTTAGTTCTGAAATTGACTAGTTATACAACCACAGGAAAATTAAACGTTTTTTCCTTCTAAATAATAATTTCAAATTTGTGAAATAGAACTGATAATATGTTGTGAAGACATTATTACACAAAATTAAGTGAGACCAATTGACAACAATGCACGGTGGGAGTCCTGGAAAGAAGGATTCACAGTGCCCACTGCCTGGGATGTATGTAGTAAACGCCATCCACAGTAGGTGACTTTAAGCTATAAAGAGAAGCAGTACGAGGTGCCACATGGCGCAGGAGGAGGGTCTGCTCATGCTACTTGGTGTGTGCATGTGAGTGGGGAGGATGATGCTCGATCTGAAAATCTTCAGAGGTAGCTGATGTTATTGGAACTTAAAATATGAGTGGTTTACTAAAGGTTCTGGATATGACAAGAGATTTCTAATCAGAGATACCAAAGCATTTGAAAGCTTACAATTAATAAATACTGTGTACATTGTTCTAAAATACTATAAATCACCCAAAAGATAAGACTCAAGAAGACTGAGTATAGCTACTCCTGGAGGGCAAGTGGGTGCACGAGGCTGGGCGGCAGGGAGACGGACAGTCCTTCTACAGACGCTGGGGAATTCCAGTTGATTTCTGAGAGGTCTGATAGGCCACTTCAGGTATAACTTGGCCAACATTTGTGTTTTTAGGTATTCCTAGATAACACTCTGGACTCTAAAATTCTTTGCAAGGTCAGTGTGTCAACAATACCATGTAAGTTTCTTTGAAAGCTTTCTCCATTTCACTGATATTCTTAAATGTACTTGAATCCACACCTTCTGGTTTGTTTCCCTAAATCCTTGTCCTTCAGTAAGAATCCCTTAGGTTTTTTCTCAGTGAGTTTCCTCTTTCTCTTCCCATTTCAGGGGAGTATAACAACAACACGTGCTAGGGAGAGGATTTGCTTTGCTTCATGCAGATGAAATTTCTGCAGTGAGAGAAGGGGACCTGCGTGTCACCCTCCTTATACCTATGGAACTGTGTAAGTAAGTGGCTCCTTATCTAACTCACTCCTGCTGGACTGGAATTTTGGAGTCAAATATGTCAAATCCTTTGAGTGACATGTGTTGTGTGGTATAGGACAAGCCAAGTAACTATTCTTGGTCTTTTATGAAAATTATGATATAATGCTTACCTTAGGAGGCTATTGTTAAACTATATCAACTTACGTTCTGCATGTGTTAGGCATATAATAATAGCTCAAGAAAGAGTGCTTATCA